ACACCACTTGTTACTGGTCTCCAGCTGGACATTGAGCCACTGACCACAACTCTTTGCGTGTGGCCATCCAGCCAGTTCTTTATCCACCGAGTGGTCCATCCATCAAATTGATGTCTCTCCAATTCAGAGACAAAGATATCGTGTGGGACAGCGTAGAATGCTTTGCACAAGTCCAGGTAGATGACATCAGCTGCTCTTCCCCCATCCATCAGTTCCGTAGCCCCATCATAGAAGGCCACCAAATTGGTCAGGCAGGATTTCCCCTTAGTGAAGCCATGCTGGCTGTCACCAAGCACCTTGTTGATTTTCATGTGCCTTAGCATGTCTTCCAGGAACATCTACTCCAAGATTTTGCCAGGCACAGAGGTGAGACTGACTGGTCTGTAATTCCCTGGGTCATCCATTTTCCCCTTCTTGAAAATGGGGGTTATATTTCCCTTTTTCCAGTTGTCAGGAACTTCACCTGACTGCCATGATTTTTCAAATATGATGGACAGTGGCTTAGCAACTTCATTTGCCAGCTCCTTCAGGACCCACAGATGGATTTCATCAGGTCCCATGGACTTGTGTATGTTCAGGTTCCTAAGATGGTCTCGAACCAGATCTTCTCCTACACTGGGCCTAGGGTCTTCATTCTCACAGTCCCTGCGTCTGCCTTCCAAGACTTGGGTGGTGTGGTCAGAGCCTTTGCCAGGGAAGAGATCAAGGCAAAGAAGTCAGTAAGAAGCTCAGTCTTCTCCAAATACGGGGTAGCCAGTTCTCCCGATAGCTTCTGGGGGGGACCTACGTTGTCCCTAGTTTGTCTTTTATTTGCAATGTAACTATAGAATCCCTTCGTGTTATCTTTCACACCCCTAGCCAAGTTTAATTCTAACTGGGCCTTAGCTTTCCTAACTTGGTCCCTAGCTTCCCAGACAACATCCCTGTATTTTTCCCAGGCCGCCTGTCCTTGCTTCCATCTTTTATAAGCCTCTTTTTTCCCCTTGAAGTTTCCTCAGCAGCTCCTTATCCATCCAAGGAGGTCTCCTGGCCCTCCAGCTGCACTTCCTTCTGGTTGGGATGCAACACTCCTGAGCCTTGTAGTTGGTGATCCTTGAATATCAACCAAGAGTCTTGGGCCCCCCTGCCCTCTAGGGCTGTATCCCATGGAACCTTACTAAGCAGGTTCCTGAAGAGGCCAAAGTCTGCTCCCTTGAAGTCCAGGGCAGTGAGCTTGCTGCACGCTCTTCTTACTGTCCTGAGGATCTCGAATTCGACCATCTTGTGATTGCTACATCCTCACAATAATGTCCCCCATAGCTGTTCTGTCTTTAACCCTGACCCACAAACTCTCTGTTGACTGCTCACCTGTCCCCAGACAGAGGTCCATACTCTCCAGCCTATCCCTACCATAAATTCAACTCCCTCTCCCTGCCTGCCAAGCCTGTCTTTTCTAAAGAGCCTGTAACCTTCCATTCCAATATTCCAGTCACAGGAGCCATCCCACCATGTTTCTGTGATACCTATTATATCATATCCCTATAGACACATAAGCACATATCATATCCACATAGATCCAAATCTGTCAGCAGCTGAGCTCATACAGGGACGTTGCAGAAAACTTGTTAGCTGCCCTCATGTCTCCTACATGTGGTTCTTCTAGGAACAGCCTAGTTGAGTCTGAAGAGGACATCTGATGGTTTGTGCAGCATTAACACAGTGTAAGAGCCATTCTCTTGTCTCATGGAGGGAGAAGGCAGCTTTTTTGGCTGTAACACTGTGTGACCTGGATCTCCCCTGTGGCTTTCTGTGTAGCTCTACAGGGTTTCTTGTCTCTTATTCTGCAGCATGTAGTTGCTGCCTTGATTTTTCCCTCCAAATAGCATGGAATGGCAATTCTTGGCTCTTTCAGATGCTGTCAGATGAGTAAATAAGGGATTTTTTTTTCCTTTAATGGGACTTTAATTCTTAGCTTCTACTTCTAATGGTGTTCAAATTTTAAAATATTTGTATTTGCTAATTGAAAAAATATATTTAAACCTTATGGTGGGATGACCCATTGAAGGCTAAATATTTGACTTGATGTTGGGTTTTTTTGATAGATCTAAAATTCTCCCATTTAAAACTCTAAATATTTGGGTTTGAATTCTGGCATTCCTTGGCTGCAAATTACAAGCATACTTTATTTTAGAAGAAATCCATTGGTGATACTGCTATTGTCTTTGGGAGGAGAAAAATCCAAATCAGATGAATCAGTCTCCCCTATTCTCATCCATTCTCAAAAGATACTGCAGGGGTGGCATGCCATATATGGTAGGCTCCCACACAGACCTTACCACCTGACTGCAGCAGTGGCAGCCTTCAGAAGGCATAGTATTGATTGAGCTAAGGGGCATCTAGTGGTTAAATAAGTAGGCAGGGAAATGTTGATTGAAGGGGATCCTGTAGAGAAACCCTGGCAGGCAGAATCTCAGTGGGTGTAAGAGATAAAGTTGCCATGGTGAGAGTGCTTGCTACCATTAGTACATCTTGGTGCTCTTGATGAAGAAGAGTGCTTACATACTTCTGTTTTCACAGACCATTCTGCTTCCAGTAGTGTAGACAGTCAATCTGGTTGATATTTCTGCAGCAACCTGTTAATATTTAGAATTAGTTGTGCTGCTATTCTTCTGCAAGGTTGTTGCTTTAAAACTGACTTAGGTTAGCATTAGCTTCTATTTTTTTTGTTGTCAGGTGCAATTATAAGATTCCAGAATTACTTTGTCTGTAAATGTCATGTTTATACAATACTGAGAATGTCATTCTGTAAAATGGCTGGCCAAGAGAAATTCTCTCTTGCCTTCTGCTTGTTTAGTATCTAATCTCCAGAGCCCTTGAAAAACTACCAGATGAAAAGTTATACAGCACTAATGAAATATGTATTCACTGAAAGAAAAAAGGACTGAAAGAGGAACATCTCTCAGCTTCATATGTTAGCAGATCTGAATTCAGGTCGTGTGTATGAGAGATGGGAATCATAAAATGGTTTGGGTTAGAAAGGACCTTAAAGATCATCTGGTTCCAACCCCCCTACCATGGGCAGGGACACCTTCCACTAGATCAGCTTGCTCAAAGCCCCATCCAACCTGGCCTTGAGCACTGCCAGGGATGGAGCAGCCGCAGCTTCTCTAGTAAACCTTTTCCAGTGTCTCACTTACCCTCATAGTGAAGAGTTTCTTCCTAATACCTACTCTATATTTACCCTTTTCCAGTTTAAAGCCATTCCCCCTTGTCCTGTCACTACATGCCCATGTAAAAGGTCCCTCTCTAAATTCCTTGTAGGCCCCCTTAAAGTACTGGAAGGCTGCTGTAAGGTCTCTCTGGAGCTTGCTGTTTTACAAGCTTAATAAGCCCAACTTTTTAAGCCCATCTTCAGAGGAGAGATGCTGGATACCAGCTTGTGACTGAATTCCTCTTGCTATATAGAAAAGTATTCAGGGCAAATCTACAACCATGGGAAACTCCGACTGGATTTTTACAAAGGTGTATTTGGGAAATGCTACTGTTTCCCAGGGCTCTGAAGTGTCTGCAACCCCTACTTGAGATCTAGATCTCAGTTCTGCAGGAAACTGCAAAGTGCTGAAAACCTTACCTAAAGCTAGGTTTTCCAGGCTCCCTAGTGTAGAGCTGAACTTTGATTAGAGCTGGAGCCCTCAGGGCTTTTTGACTCTCAGGTTAGAGCAGTGAGCCTTGAATCACTGGCACAGCTGCTGCTTCTGAGCCAAGCCAGGGAGCGAGGAGTGCCACTCAGTAGGGTAGGGGAATCATGCCTTGTTTGCCAAGAGTTCATCAAACCTCTCCATATTTCAGGTGAAATATTGTGCATTCAACAAATTGCCATTTTCCAACAAAAATCTGTCTCACTGAAAGGTTTCCAACCAACTTGAGTCACAAGTGAAAACGAATGTGTGGAGCTCAGCCTGGTGCCAGTTTGTTCTGATCCCATGTTCATCAATTAGTAAGGAACAAATGTATGTATTTGCCAGTCTTTCTGCAGGGAGTACTCTGGAGTGGTGCTGTCAGGATTTAAAATTCCTTTGTGAAGCTATAGGGAAAAAGCTTTCCAATATACCCACCACTATTACACTGGGCTCAGCTGTTCCTTCCTTTTCATAAGTACTGTATTAAACACAGAATTGAATAACTGTATGTATATGGTCTGTATTAATGAGTGTGCCTGTTCAAATAATGTGTAAACCATTACACATGGATGGATGGATAGAATTTTATTTAAAAGGTAATCAGGATCGAGCCTGAGAACACTAGGCATTGTAATCATACTGGAGCATGCAGTTTCTATCAGAAAGAGCCTGTAGTCAAAATATGAGGACAGAAAGATTAACTGTTATCATTAATTGACTGATAAAATGGAATAAATGGCAGATGTTTATATTTTATCATAACAGAGCTGTTTGTTTTCTGGTAGAATTTGTTTGTAGCAAACTGTTTCAGTACTACCTTGGTATTGCCAGGTGTGTTTTTACTCTCATGATGCAAAAGTCAATGATGGACGTTGCTGTGAGGGTGTTGTTTTGCTGGTTTGCTCTGGACAATTGTTATTTCTGAGGTTACACAGAATGATCATGCTTAGCACATAATAGATAAGGGGGTCTTGTTTGTTTGTAATCAAGAAAGCTACTAGTTATGGCTTGGAAGTCTTTTCATACACAGACAGGTCATGAGGATCTGATTGTAAGAACTGTTGGATCCAAAGCAGACTTCATCATTTCCATGCTGGAGAAACAGATGTTTCTGAGTTTTAATTTTTTTTTCAGTTCAGTCTGATGTTTATGTTCATTGACTTATGTGTAAAAGAATCCTACTGTTCCTAGTGCCTGACCTCTTTCCAAGTGCTCAGGATGAAGAGTTCATTAGTTAACTTTTTTGAAAATGGTGTGACAAGTGTAGAGCTGAGATTTCTATAATGCTAGTAAATTCTTTTCTGCTTAATACATGCTTTTATCTTTCACCTCTTGAACTAGGTTCATCAGCACCAAGACAGGGGTGAGACCTTTCAATGCCAGCTATGCCCTTTTACCTCCTCCCGCCACTTCAGCCTGAAACTCCATATGCGTTGCCATCAACATTTCCTCAGGACAGAATCCAAAGTGAAGGAGGAAATACCAGAAACTGAGGTGAAGGGGTCACCACAGATAAATAGTGACTCCTGCCCGGGACCACAGAGGGAAGGAGGTGGACCTGACCTTACAGGATCAGCATCTGTATCTAAAACACCTGATGTGGCTGGGCAGCCAAGTGGAGGTATTCCACCTTTACTAGTGAAAGAAGAGCCCAAAGATGACAATGGCATATCAGCTGCACCTTTTGCTCTTAGCACTGTTGACAGAGTGCCCAACAACACAAAGCTGAAAGACTCCTCTGACTTTGTGGCCAATACAGCATCAGCACTATTCAGCCAAGACATCTCTGTCAAGATGGCATCAGATTTTCTTATGAAGCTGTCAGGTAACTTTTCAGCAAGGGGCAGCATCAGCTGCTTCTTTACAGCCTAAAAAATCACTTTGCCTTGGGTTTGCTAAGTCATGGAATTGCAGGGAGAAAAACATTGCAACTCTTAACTTATAATTTGTTTCTTCTGTTAAGGAGCGGTGTGTGATGGGTGGAAAATGGTGAGAGGAGAAAGGGATTTTGCTGTTTAATTGGTAGGACTGGGAGAGAGAACTTTCTATCCAGGATTTCATGTTCCTTGACAGTTACCTGGCAAGTCTCACCTGGTGTGTTTTTCAGACATGCTGAATACTTGCAGTTCTGGTTTGAAATTACTGAGGGTCTCAAGTACCCAGCATGTTAGAAAATTCAGCTCTTTTCACCTTTACCCATCTGTTCAAGTAGGACTAATAAGACTGGTCACCTTTCCTTCAGAGTAATATTTGATGTCTAACCATTAAATATGTGTGAAGTATGAATGTTACTGCATTTCTTGATTGTTAACACTAAAAGGATAGTCCTAGAGATTTATGAATATTTTTTCAATTATTTTTTTTTACTATTTTACTTTAAATTCACATCTAATGCAAACTACGTGTTTACTGTTTTCTTTCACTCTCAGATTATTGCTCTAAGAATGATATTCATAATGCTCTAAGAGTGACACTCTGAAGTTGCAGATATGTTTAGGTTGAATCTTTTATGTGCTCTTTTATTGATTTGACTGAACACTTCAGAATTGTTAAAGAGCAAGGAGTCAGAAAAAATGTCACTTGAGGAGCCCTGTTTCACAAGGATGTGGCAGTCCCTATGGCAAGTTTTAGACCAGAGATAAAAGATATCCTTTTCATTAGAAAACAATTGATCACCTTTTTACTTTAAATGGAATGTAAGTTGTATTTTAGCAAACCTTATTGTCAGGTAAACTAAGGAATTAGCTCTGTCCTGATGCCATTCCCTTGGTGAAACTGCAGCCATTTATTTTTTAGAGGCTTGCTGTCTTCATCTGCCCAGACCTTTATACCTCTGGGATCACAGTTCTCTGGGTAATTGAGTAGAATGGGTAAACATGAGAAATCAAGCCTGAGGCTTCATGGAGCCAGCCATGGAAGAGAGTTGAGGAGAAGCAGGAGGTGAAATGAGCTGGTACAAATGGTTTGCTGTGTGGGTTGGAAGAAGCAACAAAAGCCTTCCCTAAAAAATAATAATAAACTGTTGCTATAACTTATTATTATGACCAACAACAATTGAGCACAGATGAGTGTGTTTTGACTTGCTTGTACATTTTTTTTAATTGAGTTTTAAATGTGGACTCTGTATGAAATCCATTTTTTACGTTGTCTGACAGCTGTCATATATGTGTTGTTGTTCTGATGTCTATCTTAGATTTGGATTGCTGTGCACTGAGTGGCTCTACACACTAGCTGTACTGACCTATAGATGGTAGTGCTCATGATGGCTGCATGTAGCAAGAGTGAGAGCAGAAAGCAGGAGAAGGGGGAAAGCCTGAAAGCTGAGAAACCATGTAACATTTTGATGTGTTTTTTTTTCATGTAGCAATTGAGGGGGAGCTGTTTACAGTTTGGCAGACGGTCATGTTTTCAACGTCTGATCTATTGGCATCAGAAAAAGGATACAAATGTAGATTATTCATGCAAAAGGCCTATGCAGTTATTTTATGGTGACTTACTAAAGGTCTTGAAACCTGACTTGTGTGCACTGTTACCTAGCAACATGTTATAAAGTCACTGGGGGAGTGAGATGTATCTGTAATTTTGTATGTGTGCATATTTGGATAAAAATGTACTGCCAGTCACCAAGTTTACTACACAAGAACAGCAATGTTAAAAGGAAAGGAATTTCTTTTCTCCTGAGATTTATATTGTGCTATATACATTTAGCTCATGCTTTCCTCCATGCAATGTGCATAAATTTAGAGTAGAAGTAATTCTTTTCTGGGAAGTTGGCTAAGTATTAGCTTCATTTTTTTGAATGCTTGCTGTGCTGAACCAAGCTCCTTCGAGTGATTTCTTTATTACGACACTCGCTTGTTAGGCACATCAGATCTTCAATTACTCGCCCTACCTTTTCCATGATATAAATCTTTTGACATCTCAAATTGTATATGCCAGTTGTAACAGCCAACACAGATTTGTCGAGACCAAATTATGTCAAAACAATCTAATTTTCTTCTCTGACAGCCCTTGTGGCTAAGAAAGAAACAGTAGATAGATATATAGACTTTTAGAATCTGGCATTTATTCTTATTGAATATTGATGGTTTAAATGAACATTTATTTTTGCTTGCCAATGTTTATTGCATCTCTTCTTCTTGGTTGGTGTCAGTTTGTATGCCTCCAGTTTCATGGGAAACCTCAGGGACTGTTGATTTTCATTTCTGTGCAGTTTCAGCATCTTTTTCCAAAAGTGTGACTCAGAAAAGTGCTTGTCTCCCTTCAGACCTAAGAGTTACAGTTTCCATAAGTTTAACTGGTGCACCTAGACTGAAAGAGAGTATAAAATTGATGTTTATTAATGATTATGATTTTAAAAATCTTAATAAGCATGTTTATAAACTGACTCAGTATTATTTCTGATTGTGCAATGCAGTACATTTTCTAGCCTAGATGAAGTTGGTATTAGATGGCTGGAAAAGAGTACATTGCAAGTAATTAACAGTTGGAAGAGTCACATTCAAAATGGATCTATGAAAAATGTGCAAGTGTTCAACAAACAGTTGCAAAAATACAAACCCAGGAACAGCTAGCTAGGTAACAGTTCTGTGAGAAAAGGAGTTGACAATCTCATAGTGGTACTAAAAAGGCAGTTATTGTACTGAGGTATATACAGAGAGAAACAGCCTCAAAGAACAGGGAAATGGTCCTGCTCTTCGTCCTTATGAAGTCCAAGGGTTTGGCACTATAGTTCGTGAAGAGTGTGGATGGTTGGAAAGACTTCAGGAGAGAGCATCAAAAATGACTGGAGATTTGGATAACATGTCCAATGAAGATGAATTAAAAGGGAGTGAGGTTGTGAGGCCTATAGAGAAGACTAAGGAGAGTCATTAATAAGCCTTTAATGCATTAAAGAGTTTGTCTTGGGGAGAAGGAAATAATCTGTTGATTCGTCATAATTATAATAAAAAATAGTGGGCTTATGTTGCTGTAGAGTTTAAGTCAGCACTAGGAAAATCTTCATAAAAGTTGAGGCAGTTAAAACTCTATGGTAGTGTGGCTGGAGAGATTGTGGCATGTCTGCCACTGGAGAATTTTAAAAACAGGTTAGATAACTACCTGTCAGATATGGTGGATCACATATTAGGCAGTAGGATGGACCAGATCTGTGTATGTGTATCTCAGCCAGTGAACCACAGGGCATTAGAAGCAGTTGCAAGAAATTTTATCTGAACATAAGCAGCAATATGTAGAGAAACAAAGTGGGGAAAAAAATCACAGATGTTCAATGTTAGACCTGATTTTGAGTGGCCCAGAAACAAATTGGATGACATTGCTCAAAATGGCCTCTGAAATTTTTCAGAAAGGCTTAGGGGAACTTATGTTTAAAGAGGTTGGGAAATACTGCTGTGGGTCACCTCTGGAGATCCCTTCAGCCCTTACTATGTTCCACTGCTTGCCAGAAAGATTTTCAGTTACATGTTTTATGAAATAAAGCATAACACATAACACCAAATGTAAATCTAAAAAAAAAGAACAAATCTTGATATTTGTTTTTCCCCGATTCCATTCTTTAGGTGCTAGTTTAAGGTAGGAGATTCTTTTATGTTCACAAGAAATTCAAAGGGTTCTCTGAAATTTTATTTTAAATTTGAAAGGGTTATTATTTGTAAAGACAATTATCAGATAACTCTTAACATATAAACAGAAGAATATTTAAGCATGGGCAAGTTTTTGCCTTCAAATCTTCCCACTTCTCTTGTATGCTTGAAGTTGCCCAACTACTTCGCTGGATCAGTGCTTTGCCAGAATGTTTCCGTACACCAGTCCATTAATTCCACTTTAATACTTTGTGTTCATATCTTAATTTGCAGAGTATTTGCTTTTCCTGTTTCAAAGATTTCAGTGGCAGATGTTATCTCTACATCTCTTTAAATACTGATGTCCTTTCACCTACTTCTAAGGCTTTAAGTTCTTTTGTAATAAAAAATGGCTTTCACAGTGATCCAAATTACAATGGCTGGTGCACTCTAGTGAAGCTGTTACTGTGCCTATGTTATATGCTGCAGCTACTTTTCATAACATTCAAAAAGAAATGAATCCCATCAGAATGAATGGGATTCTTGCACTATTGATCTCAAAGGAATTCTGTGTGGAAACAGTAATTGTAAGGCATACTTCATTGCTGGCCTCTCTCCACATCTTCCCTGTGTTCGCCAAGTGTGTTACTTTAGAAAGCATGCGTCACTCTCTTATCTTGTGATGGTGTATATTATGAAGTGTGCCCTGCTTCTGCAGTTCCTTTAATGTTCCCCAAGTTACTTGCATGAAAAAACTTTAGAGAGGAGGAAGGAGAGATAACATGCTGAGGGCTTGGGGCTGGCCCTGTTAAACAAATGAGAAACCATGTTTTCTCCCAGTTTAAGTCATATCTGCTGTCACTATTCTGTGAAGAGTAAAATTTTTATTTTGGAAAATAATGCCACCATGGAGTTTTGGTGACTGTCCAAAGTACTTGGACTTTGCATTCATGTTTTATTAGCTGATTCCGTTAATGGAATAATGAAGTAGTAAATCATCAGGCAGCTACATAAAAATATTAGTAGATAAGTTAAGTAATCACTTAGATTATTTGTTCTGTTTGGTTCTTAAAAATTATTGCATTCCTTAAAGGTAACACGAGTCATTTGAGATGTTTTAGATTTGCCATTGACAATACTGGACTGACTGGCATTAACTCTTCAAACAGATATTTTTAATAAAATGAAAGCATGTCTAATTAAATTGTTGTAATTGATGCATTTGTGCAGTGAGTTCCAAAGAAAAGACGATTCTGCTTATATT